GATCAGAGGTTCGAAACCTCAAAAACGAGTTCATGACAAAAACATTCCTTATTCTTTGTTATTTAATAATGATCCATTGATTAGGTATAAATAAGACATGTCTTTACCTAATATACACAAAAACAAAACACTAAATATGGAAGAGTTAATTCCATATAAATGGGCATAATATCTAAGTTTTAACTTCGGTAGCCATCAAAGATATGGTAGCTTTAGCTTTTCACCATATCTTTTCGTAAGTGTATTATCAATAATAGTATTCGAAAGAGAAGTATGCTCGTTAGTGTTTGCATTCTTTTGATTGTTATAAACATGATTGAGATTGTAAATGTATCAAAATTTCTTGATTATAGTAATCCATTAGACGATGTTAGTTCTAATTGTAACATGAGAATCAAGTTTGCAAACCAGCTCGTAAATAATGACAAAAACAATAAGAATCACTTAAGGAAAAGTTTTGGAATTGATTACTGTGATGATCAAAATCAAAAGTAAAGAAGACTCGTTTTTAAACTCGTGATTCGAATCATTCTGCAACGGGTTTGATCAACACCACTTGAATGATTCTAACATGCAAGTTATAAACACAAGAATTTGCGAAGTAAAAACTTATCTCTCAACAAAGAATAGAAACTCTATTTTTTTCAATTCCAAAATGTGATAATTTAAACAACATTTTCTTCACATGTTTCTTGAAGTTTATATTGCATAATTGATACCTTGGTTCATATCAGTTTCTTACCTTAGGTGATTAGAACATGCATGATTAGGACAATAAAAGGGCAATTTTGAATGAGAAATGCATTGTATGTATGATATAGAAAAGTAACGTTACACCCTTAAAATGAGATTCCGAGATACATGTTGATTTTATACTTATTGCAGAGCTAGAAAGAGATCCATGAGTAGAATAGGAATTGGACAATATAGATGATTAAGTTATGTAAGATGTAAGAAATTACAAAAATGCCCTTATGATGATATTTGTGATGAATGTTGTTTTAAATGTTTTCTGGTGTGTTAGAAAGGAGGATGAGTTATTGTAATCTATGCTCCACGAGATTGATGGATGTTATCTCGCCGTTGAGATTTTTTTTTCTGCACGGATGTTTTAGTTCATGTTTACAGTGCTTTAGGTTATTAGGTTATTGATAAGATATTTAAACTTACATGAATGTTTAGATTATGTATACTATGATCTAGTTGATCAATAGGATAAACTTCCTAGCAAAGCAGGTAAAAGAGAACCAAGGTAAGACTAGGGCACATGAGCTAGAGTGGTCTCCAGTCAATCAAATTTGTACGTTTCTAGTAAACTGAATGCCCTAGGATTGTGAATGTCGATCTAAGATTTAGACCTGTGTGCATTCTAAGTATGAATTAGCCAAGGAGTTAAGTCTTAAATCCTGAAAATGATAGTTGAAATCAAACTGCCTAGACGCCCCTAAGAACCTAGTAGACTTCCATGACATTCAAGGACAACCAAAGTAGCTCATTAGGCTATAAGAAGTATGAACGATGTCATTAGTATCTCTATTACCTTTTCCACTTTGAAATTAGGGTAGTGCGTTCCCCAACCTTATAAAATTTTTTACGGGTCTCCAGTCTTGTAAACTCGTCCTTTATAATGGGCGTGGGACCAAGTAGGTTAACATAGTAGCTAGCCAACATAGGGAGAATTGCTTGCCCCAAACTTTTATGATTTGATCGTCTTGCGGAAGGGACGACTAGCTAACCTTCTATGTATGAGGTTCATAATTAGATCACACTATACTATCACACAAAATCTTTATGAGGTAGCTCCTCAATCTAGGAAACTGGTCTCTTATTGAGTAAGGAAAATAAGCTACCCTAAGTCAAAGAACAAAAAGGTACTTTACCTAGAGATGAGACTTGTCGCTTGATAAATTTGTGAGGCAAGAAAAGGGTAAACCACTACCTCGAACCTAAAGTAGGTTTGCGAGTAGCTAGAAAATCACACAAAACTCCGAAGCCTCCCTAAATGATTAGATAACAATAGAGGTTAGGCTAGAACTCCTTAGAGCTTAGAGTAAACCCATGGATATCTACTAAGATAAAGATGCGATACGAACCTACAAGTAGGTTTCTTACGAAATATTTTATACTTGTTCCTTTTCCTTTTTTTTTTTTTTTTTTTTTCAGGTGATCACAGGTACCGATCAAGGTGGGAGAGTGCTAGAGAGCTGCACTATCACAAAGGTGTTAATCCAAGACATCAATTTAGTTTGTATTTTGTATGTTGTTATTTGTATTCATTTTACATCTCGTTCTCGTTTCCAGTTTGTAAATAAATTAAATATCATTTATTTTGTATTATTTTCATTTTGAAATTTGGTTTTTAAGTATAATGTTTCATGACTCTAAATCGAGTGAAATTTTATCGTGTTTATGCTTTCATTTATTAATCATTTATCTTATCTTTTAGTCACGATCCGAAGTTAAGTCAAAAACTAATTCATAACAAAAACATTCCTTATTCTTTGTTATTTAGGAATGGTTGGTTGATTAGGTATAAAAGACAGGTCTTTACATAATATATACAATAACTACACAAAATATCAACAAACCATATTTGTCGAATTCACAAATGATAGGTAAAAAAAGGAAACATATTGGAAGAGTTAATTCAATATAAATGTGCATAATATCTAAGCTTTAGCTTCAATAGCCATCAAAGATAGTATAGCTTTAACTTTTTTACCATACTTCATACTTTTCGTTACGTGTATTATTAATAATGGTCGTCTCAAAGAGAAGCATGCTCGTTAATGTTTGCATTCTTTTGGTTGCCATTAACATGATTGAGATTGTAAATGCATCAAGACTTCTTGATTATTGTGATCCAATAGGCGATGTTAGTTCTAATTGTAACAGGAGATTTCAATGATATATTTATTGGTAATAATTATCATAATTATTAGCATAAATGAATTTTACTATAATGCTAAATCAAGTATTACCTTCTTCGAGATTAATTTGAATTTTATGATTGGATTTGATTTTATTAATTGAACTTGTTGTGTAACGACCTAAATTTCAGCTACCTAAAATCTCCATTATCATCTAAATCGATCATAGCTCGAATATAACTTTTAAAATATCATCATTAAAAGAAAGAAAAAAAAAATTGGAGTTCAACATAACCATACTTTATCATTAAAGACATAGCCATGGTCCTACATGTTTAAAACATAATTCAGGAATGAAATTAGAAAAAATAATGAAAATTAATTTAAAGCGTTAAATGCATAACAATCTATTCTAATGTATGTCTAGGAAATTAAATATGAATGCACGTGCCATGGTCTCTAATTGCGATATTGTCGTCAATAGTACATGGGTGCCTTGCCTTTACCTGATAAAGAATGTAGCACACGACCTGAGTCCTGAGTATTTTAAAGTATACTCAGTAAGTGACCCCACTATAGGGGGCCATAAAAATGCAAACACATACAATAATTTTCTAGGGACCCATCATTAAAAACATCATAGGGGTGACTTCTAGTCCGGACTAAGTTGAATGTGCAGTACTTCCCTACACACGACCTACACATGCGAGTGTAAATCTCCCGGTGGTTCGCGACCCCCCTGGACCCATCATAATCGAGCTAGCTGTCTGTAACGATGTCTAGAGGTCAGTAGACCCCTGAGTGTCATGCTCGACATGATCACCACCATCCTCGTAGCGTACGCGTCCGTTCATAAAAGAGGAAGTAGCTCGATGCTTATATATATATAGGAATGCATAAAGTCCTTATAGTTTCTCGTCGTTAAAACATCTTTAAAACACAATCCTAGTTCCGTTCTTATATTACTATAAGTAATATATGTGTATCAACTTCCCATTTTATCATCATCATTAACAGTATCTAGGGTTATGTCCTAGACATAATTATCGTCATAATGCATATGACATTCACAACATACTTCTCAACTTAATATGAAAAATAATGTCATATTAAGGAAATAACATTATCTACATCATCATATCATGCATCATCATCATCATTATTTTATAACGCCATTGTAACACGTCATAATCATCATAAAGCATCATCAAACATCATCATATAACTCATACACGACATCATACATCATACATCATAATCATAAGGCATAAAGGACACGTGCCGGTTCCACTAGGCACGCGTTGTCATACATCAAGCAATTGCCTAGTCTATCCTATAGTAAGGTCACTTACTTGGTTGGCCTTAGCCGACGTTCTCCCTAAATTAAATATGTTAGCTACCATTCCTTGAAAGCTGTTCCAAGTGTTGCTGGAGTTCGTTTTCTATTAAGTGATCTCGTTTCTTTCGTTAGTATTTCACAATTCTAAATTAAATTCAACTTGAAATTGTGAAATAGAGAATCTTGCCTTAATTATCTTAATTAGGGTTAAAATTGGCATCGGGAGGGTCGAGATGGTGAGAAAAGATGATTTTATCCTTTACCGAGTTGGATAAGCCAAGATTTTGAGTCGCAGTCGAGTGAGCCGAGCCGAGTCGTTTAAATCACTGGAGCCGAAGGAGTGTCTTCCTGCAGGTGTGACATGTGCTAGCAGGGGGTGAGGGACACGTCGTAGTTCCCTCTCGGGTCAAGGCGCAGGTTCGGGGTGCCGACGCGACTGTTGAGCTTACTGGATTAGGACCGAGGCGTGCGTTGAGCTGCTGCAATGCACGGGGCCGGGTCATCTGGGCTGCGATGACTCTGGGGAAAGTCATTTGAGTACACCAATATGTCATTGATGAACACTGAGCCCCCGAGTTTAAAAAAAAAAAAAGAAAAAATTAGGTCACAATAGGGGCAAACTAGTCATTTTGCCCTATTATTACTTGAGTCTCATTTGATTGGGTCATAATCTGAAAAGAAAAAGGGGGGGGGGGGGGGGGG